CAAGAAATGTATGAGATCAGATTAAATGGGACCAAACATGAAATTCATAATTCCAGCGCCAGTCTAAAAATGACTGAATTCAGAAATATCTGAATATGAAGAGATGAAAATTGATTAGATATAATCTGTTAAAACAGCTATATACTATCTTTTAATAATTTTATTCTGTTATAGTCTCTCTTTACTTTACTTTTTCTTCTGTTCTTTTCTATCTATCTATTTAATATATCTATCTTTAAGACTATATTCTCTTTTCTTTTGTCATAATATTATCAAATGATTTCAAAGTATTAGAAGATGTTAAAATACTGTAATTTATAAACAGTTTTTATATTCTGAGCTGAAATTTTCTGATTTTACATATCTGAAATTGGTAAATGTATAATAGTTGACTTTATAGATATAGGAAAAACTCTGAGAACTAAAAGTTCTCAGGTAGATATTATAGTCTCTGACTGTATACATCTATAATTGAAGAATAATAATAATAATAATATTTATAAGATAACTAGTATAATCTTCTTCTATATACTGAAGTTACTATCAATGACTCAGATACTGTCTTAACAGATGTAAGCCTGTTCTTTCTTATACACAGTTATTATATGAAGGTGTTGAATCTTCTAGAAATTACACAGTGTATATCAGACTCTTACAGTTTAATTCAGATTGTTAATAATATAGTAATAAAGCTCTGAGACATCTGTAACTGATCAGAAGTCTTTATAGTAAGTACTAAATAAGATTAAGAGAATTAAATCAATGTCTGCTAAGATCTCACTGAATAATATAGAATAGAAGATCTGATGTAATTAGACTAACTGTGTAACTGTGTCTGAGATCAGAATCAGATTTTTTAATAGTCTTATTATCAATTCAACTGATCTTCTTACATGGTTTTAACATTAGATAGTAGTCCTACACTGTCTCAGTGAGACTTACTGTCTACTCTTATCACATTTTTCAAATGAGATCATGATTTTCACTTCTTAATTTAAATTATTTTTATTGCTTTAAATGACTTTAAATCTCATTTGAGTGTTACCAAAAAGTGTTACTTTTAAAAAAATTAAAAATAGTCTAAAAAAAACCTTAAAATGTCTAAAAATAGTAACTTTATACTAAGAATGAGACTAAATGAGATTAAATGAGATCACTTTCTTATTTTTTTCAAGTCATGGTTTCATTTTAAGATCTGATATATAGTCACTTTACATGTTTTTTTAATGACTAGTCTCAGTAAAATCCACATCAAGAAATGTATAAGACTAGATTAAATAGAATTAAACGTGAAATTTATAGTCTCAGCAGTCAGCCTAGATGTAATTAAATCTTAAAAACATATAGATTACATACTTATCTTATATACTAAACTATTATTATATTAAATACAAAGTAATAGTAGTTCTAAATAGTTATAACTACTGTCTTAACATCTCATCAGAAATTTATAATGTCTTTTATATAAGCTTACTTTACCGCGCTGTTACTAGACTGACTGTGTAACTGTGTCTGAGATCAGAATCAGAATATTTAATAGTCTTATTATTAATTCAATTGATTTTATTACACAGTTTTAAAATTAAATAGTAGTCTTATACTGTTTTAGTAAGACTTACTATCTACTCTTATTATATTTTTCAAATAAGATTATGATTTCTACTTCTTAATTTAAATTCTTTTTATTACTTTAAATGACTTTAAATCTTATTTAAGTATTACTAAAAAGTATTACTTTCTAAAAAATTAAAAATAATCTAAAAAAACCTTAAAATATCTAAAAATAGTGACTTTATATCAAGAATGAGATTAAATGAGATCAAATGAAATCACTTTTTTATTTTTTCTAGGTCATAGTCTCATTTTAAGATTGAATGAATAGTCACTTTGCATGTTTTTTTAATAATTAATCTCAGTGAGATTTATATTAAGAAATGTATGAGATCAGACTAGACTGACTATGTAATCATATCTGAGATCAAAATCAGAATATTTAATAATTTTATTATTAATTTAACTGATCTTATTACGTGATTTTAAGATTAAATAGTAGTCTTATACTGTTTCAGTGAGACTTACTATCTACTAGACTAACTGTGTAACTGTGTCTGAGATCAGAATCAGAATTTTTAATAGTCTTATTATCAATTTAACTGATCTCATTACACAGTTTTAACATTAGATAGTAGTTTTATACTGTCTTAGTGAGACTTACTATCTACTCTTATCACATTTTTTAAATAAGATCATGATTTTCACTTCTTAATTTAAATTATTTTTATTGCTTTAAATGACTTTAAATCTCATTTAAGTGTTATCAAAAAGCATTACTTTTTAAAAAATTAAAAATAGTTTAAAAAAAACCTTAAAATGTCTAAAAATAGTAACTTTATACCAAGAATAAGACTAAATAAGATTAAATGAGATCACTTTCTAATTTTTTTCAAGTCATGATTTCATTTTGAGATTTGATATATAGTCACTTTATATGTTTTTTTAATAACTAGTCTCAGTAGAATTCACATCAAGAAATATATAAAATCAGATTAAATAAGATTAAATATGAAATTTATAATTCTAATAACTAGTCTAGATCAGATTAAATAAAATTAAATTAAACTAATTACTGAAATTATAAATTTCATATTTAATCTTATTTAGTCTGATCTTATACATTTCTTAATATGAATTTCACTGAGACTAATTATTAAAAAAACATGTAATATGACTGTATATCAGATCTTAAAATGAAATCATGACTTAGAAAAAATAAGAAAGTAATCTCATTTAATCTTATTTAGTCTCATTCTTAATATAAAGTTACTATTTTTAAACATTTTAAGGTTTTTTTAGACTATTTTTAATTTTTTAAAAAGTGACACTTTTTAGTAACACTTAAATAAGATTTAAAGTCATTTAAAGCAATAAAAATAATTTAAATTGAGAAGTGAAAATCATGATTTCATTTGAAAAATGTGACAAGAGTAGACAGTAAGTCTCACTGAGACAGTATGAAACTACTATCTAATGTTAAAACTGTGTAATGGGATCAGTCGAATTGATAATGAGACTATCAAATATTCTGGTCCTGGTCCCAGACACGGTCACACGGTCAGTCTAGACCAAATGTGAAATTCATGGTCCCGGCGGCCAGTCTAGCCGCCACTGACTCATTCCCTTCTCAACTGACTTCTGACTGGCAACCGCCAGGGATCATAGAAGAAGATAACACAAGAATAGCATAATAATGATCGGAGTTTCTTCGCATAACTCTGGAACTTCACACACGTGGCGTGGGACTTTTTAAATCCACATAAATATACTACAATATGTTCTATATTCGCACAGCCTTTTCCCTTCTAGTTCGCCAAAAACCGGTGTGCTGTGAACGGTACTATATTGTTTGAACGGAGGGCCCAAGCCAGACAACTAACCACCTACAACGCATATGAGGATGACTGACAACGAAATACAGCGAACGTAAGGCCTTCGGGGTCGTTGGGAGACTTAACAAATGGCACTGAATGACACAGTATTGACTCAGGTTGTCTGGTCCAAATTTATATTTGGCAGAGGAGTCTTCCAGGGCGTCCGAGGAGGGCCAAATCAGAAGCTTCACAAGGAAATGGATCTGTGCCGGTGGCATCTCGAATTCCGCCCGCTTCATGGGCAGGTTGGCGGGGAGAGTGGCCATCAAGATGGGAGGACGCGCACTTGGAACGTGGGTTTGATTTATAATGAGGTGCTGTGATCCTCTACAGTTATCCAAAAATGAAGGTGGCACCACCGGGCCCCTGTAAAAAAAAGTCACATAAACCATAGAAAGTTGGGCAAAACGCATGCATCGATATTCAAGCCCAAACCACAGCCATCTGCTTATTTGCTCTTCTTGTTTTAGTTGATAAAGAAGGGTACATCGGAATTCTAGGAACCGGAGGACGGTAGAGATGCAGGGGAAAACACTGATGCGGATGGACGTGGAGGCGGTGATATAGGTGGTACTTTTGGCAGCCAAATTGATCGCATGTGTTCTGTTATGGATGCTCTTGTGAATTCATAACAGTGCTCAAGCCAAGTTTGCCAGTCCCAGTCAATCCATTCATGAAAATTCGCATGATGGCCCCAACCCTGATCCCAGCGCAGCAAAGGGGATATAGGGACACCAGGAAGGTGTTTTGCTTTCCACTCAGCAGGGCTGTTTGAAGGAGTTCGACCAATCCCACAATATCCGAAGTCAATGAGTACCACACGCCGAAGAGTGCTATCCAGCACAAGAACATTCCTCGGGTGTATATCTCTATGTAATATATCATGAGCATACAGCATAGATTCTGCATCAACAATTGCCTTCAAAATATTTTGACACTCTGACTGTGTATAGTTGATTGGATTGAGATGTTGCATTGAGATCCCAGGTACTTTTTCAATAAGGATTAACCGAATAGATCGCGAAATTCTTTTATTTGGAATTGGCAGTTCAAGTGTAAACGACCCATAATATCTTGGAATGATAGTTCCTTCAAGTGGATAAAGCAGTCGGTAGGCTGCGGTTTCATGAGAATATGCTAGGTCTGTATAGTGAAAAGGATCCACATCATCCTGTTCATGGTCAAAGTAAAGGGGATCGTAGAGCTTAGCGACTAGACTCTTATCAGTTGGTATTGAGTCTGATATATCTAGAGTCTTATTGACCATGTGGACAGTAACAAGTTGAGCACTGTGTTGATCTCCTATTCTAATAGGTTCAACAACCTTTAGTCGAATAGTGCCCTTTCCAGTCAATCCAGGCAATGGAGGATGAAGTATGCAACGATCCACAGGATGCATAGTTTCCCTCTCCCGATGCCCCTCATATGATAGGACAACCTCACCTGTTGCAGGAGAAGGAGGAGTATGAGGGTGGATGCAAAATTCTTGCCCAGGAAAGTAAGGTAATGGTGGCTTGGGCTTGTTGTATCTAGAACAGTAGGAAGCACTCAGCTGATAAGTCATGGTTGCAAGATTGGAAAATAGAAGGTCTGAGAAAAGTAAACATCAAAGTTGAACAGCTCGCACTAATATTTCCAACCCACTAACTAGTCCTAGACTAACCGGATTGGGGCACTAGGCAAAGGCAACTGGGGAAGAACTTGTTATGGTACTTACTGTACAATAGATGAGGGGTTAGGGCGGGGGTTTTAGGCAGGCAGATAGATGCCTGGAGATACTTGAATCACGTATTTCTTTCCTAGCTCCTTATTAGGATATGATATCCAATGCCTCCCTTTAGTCTTAAGGTCATTTACCAGGTTGCAAGAAATCGGCTTCCCACCAATGCATCTTCTCTTCTGGAGCGAATGCCTCTGGTGGAAAAGAGCCATTTACTTCATACAGAGTCAGATGTCATTCGTGCTTCTATCCAGTACCTCCTCCATCCTATTAATGTCGCAACTATCCAATTGATATCTTCTTCTGGTCACCTTTTCTGCAGAGGCGAGGCGCGTGAAGGCGGTGGATGTCGAACAGACCTCAGATGGATATACTGAAATGGTAGTGGATGGACCAACATTGCGGGGTTAGAATTCAAAAACACTCAAGTGCTACATTGGAACGATTTCAAAGACGCGGTGTCAGACCAAAACAATGCGAAAGCAATGGTGGACTCAGCCTATGCCGCATATTTCTCGTCACAGCGAACCCAGGATGAACACCAGGATGCAGGATCTCGAAAGCCGTCTCCCAACGGCAAAAAGGGCCATGCATATTACTAAAAGTAAAAATTATGTACAGAGTTATGTATATTTCCGTCTGACTTTCATTATCCAGTTCATCCAATCGTAAACTACAGCTGACAAAAGTGGATTGAAGGGAATCAAGAAAATAGCAAAATAGAGCACCAAAGGCAACCCGAAAAACGAAGAATTTGATTGATCAAAATCATCAAATTCCCCTGAGCTTTGGTACCCAGGGAAAAACAACGTATCAGACGTCAGTCAAAGTAAGGGAAAACGAAAAATGACATCAAAACCCACCCCGCCACTTAATTATTCCCTCCGTCAAATCTAAACTGTCGCCCTCACTACTACGTCGCATTCGTAATCGGAGACACGGACGGAGGCGGATAGCAAGGACCAGCATCCAGCTCTACAAGGTTGCCCGCTCCCTCACCGCTCAGTTCCTGCGGTGCGTTTTCCGGAATACCCGCCGGCTTATTATTCGACTCCATCACGCCATTAATATTCCCACCACCTTGCTTATCCCAGCCCCACGGTGGTGGGGAGGAAGAGGGACTAAACCCACGCGCTTAAATGCTTGTTAAGCGGCGTATTCTCCGCACTGATATGAA